ATATGTTGAAAAGAATTTTAAAATGACTATAACTAATTATTATAATATTATTATTAATTATTATAATAATTAAATATTATAATAAAATGTATAAATAAAAAATTTTTAAATTTAAAAAAATAATCTATACAAAAAATTTATTCTAATATCAGTTAAAATTAAAGATCTAAAGAAAAAATTAAAAAAAAAATAACTTTAACATAATAACATATAACATAATTTATTATAATGACAAACTATATAAAAAAGTATAACAAATATCAGTTAAAATTAAAGACGTTGGAAAAAAATTGTTTAATATAAATCTGAAGACTTATATCCAGTTATCATTATATATAATTATAATTTTAGTATATAGTGACAATACATAATTAAAAAAAAATTATTTAATTATCAGTTTAAATAAAAGATGTACCTAAATATTAATATTAATTAAGAGTGTTATAGAAATATAGAGTGTTAAAGAAAAGACTGATATAGAGTGTTATAATTAAACATAAGAAATAATTCCAAGACCAATGATGATGGGTATTTAGTAATATATAGTCAGCCAAAAATTCAATTTATTAAAAATAAATAAAATTTTTTGTTGTTCGAAACCTCTTTATTAAATACAATAGTTTCTTTTAAAAAAATAGTCACTACCGTTATAACTGACGTTAAAATTTAATTTAATATAAAAAATGTATGGTTAGCCAAAACTTAAATTAATTAAAATAATATAAAAAAAATTTTTGTTGTTATAGCTCACTAATGTTCGAAAATTTTTTATAAAAATTTTGTTGAAATATTTGAAAAAAAAATTACAACAGACAATAACAATTAAAATAAACAAACCTAAAATTAAATTTCACAATTTAATAACCATAATAAATTAAATCTAAAATATTTAAAAATAATTGTGTTTATTCGTTTCACGAACTGTGTGCAATAGATATAATGCATATGTTTGTGTATAGAATTTCAAATCTGAAGATTATTTCTTTTAATAATCTTAAAAAAAATAAATACCATTACTTGGCTAATTGGCATAAATAATCCACATCTGTTTATGGAGAAAAAATGCTGCAATTTAAATATAAATAAATAAAAATTTTAAATTTTATTTAGTAAGTTAGTCTATGCCAGAAACTTATAATGTACAATGCATATATATCGCAGTTTTAGTTTACTTAAGACCCTGTCTTAGAGTACGACTGTAGCGGTATGAGACTTGCACCCACTAAAACCACTATTTAAGATTAAGTTATGAATTATTTTAAGCATTACCGCATAAGAAACTACCAGCTGTATTTGTATTTCCAAATTTATCTAACGCAGATATGAGAATGTACCTTATGTTAATTACAAGCAGTGTCCGTTATTTGGATAAATATTTCTTTAAGGGTATATTAATAAGTTGTTATATTCGATATTAAATATTGGAATGAAGCAGGAGGATTAATACAGTATCATCAAAATAGAGGGCTAAAGATTTAGGGGTTCGATGTACTAGTTCACTCATGTTATGTTATGTTGAGCCTATTCCGAGTTAGTGCATCTGGGCACTTTTACTCTATGATGGCTGGGGAGATTCTGCAGAGTCCCACCCATCTCACTGACTAATGTGAGTATTCCTCATAATCTTCGTGATTATTCAATGATTGATCTAAGATCTGCGTACCGCACTCTGCGTTTAGTGATTACTCTAAGATAAGATAGTACTAGGTAGGGCAATCTGTTGGTTTTCGCATATAGCTTCAGAGCTCTGTCCCTTATGTATTTTTTGACCGGATCTATTCAAAAGTCTCTTAGCATGCTATTCGTGCGGTACTTTGAAGAACCTTCGGAAAGCCTGACTTTAAGCAACTTGTAGCTTTCGGAAAGTAGAGTCGGCAGCTTTGTTATACGCGACACTCCCATAAAGTAGTGCTGGTCTAATTATCTGGCTATAAATTAGCCTTCTGTTCTTCGCGCTAAGGTTGTTGTGTTTGAAAAGTGGATGTAAGCAGTGCAGTGTTTTCGCGCAACTACTTCTTTTGACTTGTATATGCTTGAGATCACTCATTGCAACGTTTTTATATTCTGCCACAGAATATTATGTGGTGCTTAAGACTGCACTTTATTCCAAATTACATATATGTGTTAAAAGTTATATAAATTTCATTTTTAATAAACGGAAAGAATCTTATAATAATAAGGTACTTGTAATAATTCCAGTTTCCATAAATTTATAGATTTAATGTGTGCTACTTTAGTATAAAAGTAAAATTAGAAACTTATATAATATATATAAGTATAATTTCCTAGATTATTTTTTGATAAAAAATGGATCACTTTATCAGGATTACTTGCAGTACCCCAATGTATAAAAATTATAGCGAGTTTACTCAGTCTATCAAAATCAGTGGTATTTACTCAGTGACGATTGCTCTAAGGTGCGGAGGTGTGCGGTGAACACCCTAACATAATTTGCAAAATGTCAAATAAC